CACACACACACACACACACACACACACACACACACACACACACACACACACACACACACTGGTCTTGCTAGCTCTCTGTCTTGGCAGATTTGAGCAGCTAGGATCGGGCTCGTATTAGTGAGCTATTCTTTTTTTGTGGTCGGATAATTTGTTGGCTGTTCTTTATTCATACATGGCCTAGTTCTTTGCCCTGCTGTAGAGCATGGGCTGTCTCGTGATGGTCACGGTATCTTCGCGAGGAGGCTCAGAGAGTCTTTGCTGTGGGTGTCACTCCCACGGGATGCCCTTTTGGAGCACATGGAAGATGGTGGTGCTTCCGTGGTGTTTTAAGCAGTAGTGCTCCTGGTGTCGCGTGGAGATTCTGTTAATGGATGCTTGGAGTTCTGACCACAGTATCTTGGTGAGGAGGCTGAGAGAGTGTTTGCTGTGGGTGCCATTCCCATGGGCTGCTCTTTTGGAGCACATGGAAGAAACGGGGACTTCCAGGCTGTTTTAAGCAGTGGCCCTCCTGTTGTCGCGTGAAGATCTTGTGGTCTTTGGGTTTATGGTACTCTATACACTCCAGAGGCTAGACAGCAGATGGGGACTGTCTAGCCATGGAGTGATAGAGATAGTGGTGGCGTGAGTGGGTTGTTTGGGAGGAATAGGAGTGCCAGTGCTGCTGTGCTTGTGGGCTGACTCGGAAGGCTCTCCAAGTTTTTTCGGACTATGCTGCCTCTGGTTGGTGCTTTCTTGCTGGTGGAGCCTTCTGTGCTAGGTATGTTGTCTTCTTCCCTTTACCTTTGTTTTTATAGATTGAAAAAACTGTATATATTTGTGCAAGTGTGCCACTTCGGCGGCAGACTGGTATGTGGACACTTCCCTCTCAACCATACAAACATGGGGAACCTTGCACCTTCTATTATATTGCTCATCTATACTTTTTTGTTTATGGATGTTTTTTTTAAGGTATGTGGATGGAATGAGAGAGAGAGTTTGGGGATGTTGACTAACACACACACACACGCACAGTATGTACTGAGCTTGACCTCAAGCTACTAGCAGAGTTTGCACCTCGCTGAATGAGAAAGAATGATCTTTACATGATCAAGTAATACCTTGTCATTTCCGTATGCGTGTATGTGTGCATCTATGGAGCAGGTACTACCTGTGAAGAATGTTGAGGAGGCTCTCCATCATGCGTTTGAGGGTGGCTGTCCAGTTCTTCCAAGGAGCAAGCTCTAGCAGACTTCTTGGGAAGGGTCAGAGAGCTAGCTGAAAACAGCCATTGCCACTCATGGTCCCTACAGATTGTGCTGCCGTCATTTTAAGTCTTCCACTGTCCTCCATATCATCTCTTCCCTCGCTCCTGCCTTGCTCCCGCCATCCCTGTATCCCTTCTCGTCTGTCTCTTGTGCACTCGGCCGCCCATGCATATGTGTGCACATGCACTTAAAGGGTCAGCGAGCTAGCTGTAAACAGCCATCGCCACGCATGGTCCCTACAGATTCTACTGCCTTCATTTTATGTCTTCCACTCTCCTCCATGTCATCTCTTCCCTCGCTCCTGCCTTGCTCCCGCAATCCCTTTCTTCCTCTTGTGCACTCGGCCGCCCATGCATACGTGTGCACATGCACTTGATTCCTATTGAAGTGTTCAACCCTACAGGGGAGGGAAGCTAATCGCACGCGAGCGGACAGAGAGGGGATCTGCAAACAGTGGTTAACAACATGTGATCTGAATCATTAGAGTCTTATTGAAGACATGGTGAGAGTGGCTGCAGTCTGCTGAGCAACCCAAGACCTGGTATCTGCTCTTTGCACACAAGAGATCAAGATTTGGTGTTTCACAAGCACAAGCACAATCACAATCACAATCACAAGCACAAGCACAAGCACAAGCACAAACAATCAGAAACATCTATGCAAATGAAATGCAGAGGCAAGTTAGGGAAGGGGGAGGATCCCTGGTCCTAATCCTTGTTCTTAATCATATTCCAACTTCCAAGGAACGAGCTATGCGTGGCTCGGAAAGGGTGGAGTGTGTGTTTGCAACTAGCCGGACAGTTAAAGAACTTGAAAGGACTTTTAGAGGAGTGGGCTGGAATGGGGTAGCGCAAAGTATATGGTTTGCATGAAGGCACCATGGCATTGCTGACATGCAAGAACTGAGATAGAAATCGATAGAAAGACATACCTGACTGCTGGTAGAAGTATTTCTTTCAGCAATACACATGGTAGGCTTAGTGACATGTAATCTATTCATTCGTTCCCTTTTCTGTCTTGACACAGAAACGTCATTGTTGATGGAAGTCTTTCCATCAACTGTAGTAATTAGTGGTGTACTCTATGTAGGAAGCTTATGTGTTGATGGAAGTATTTCTGTCAGCAATATCGAATGATTTGTGGTAGATACTCCTTTCTTACCCTCATACCTATTGCCATCTATAGCTCTAGGATGTGTGGGGGGGGGAGAGAGTGAAGGATTCACTGACAGTTCAAGTCAGTCAGTATGTGTCTGGGAGAGATACATGTGTGTGTGCAAGTCTGTGTTGGGTGTGTGAGGTAGCTTTGGGATTGCAGTTCTTGTGGAACAAGCATGCGTGTATGCGCGTGGTGACTGTGGTTGCATATGTATTTGCTGGGAACCTACACACACACACACACACACACACACACACACACACACAGAGAGAGAGAGAGAGAGAGAGAGAGAGAGAGAGAGAGAGAGAGAGAGAGAGAGAGAGAGAGATTTGTGCTTTGAAAGGAAGTGGAAGAGGAGGAAAGTCTGCAGTCTATTGCACGAAAGAGACATCTTTGCTTCCCTGCTGGCTTGCTGGCTTGGGACATTGTATGGGAGAGTTTGTGCATTTGGGACCGATGTCGGTTGTGGCCGTCTTGGGACCAGCTGAACCTTGAGTTCTCACTACATAAGCAGTGGTCTATATTAGTGCCATGCCGCCAGGTTCTACAAGGGAGAACAAGACTTTGTTCCTTACCTGGGACATTGCATGGGAGCGTTTGTGGCTTAGGGTTTGTGGCTTGGGGACTGTTGGCAGTGTGATCCTCTGAATTCTGATTTTGTAGAAGTGGTGTGGGCTGCAGCAGTTCTGGAACAGAAAGAAGGGGCCAAGAGCCAACTGTATTGGTTGTATGTATCGTCATGCACACACACGGTTAACTGTGAGCGCTTTGATATTCTTGGCCTTGTTGTTTTGTGATCAGCTGCGACTGAATCCACCACCTTCTTTGGATGGTCGTCATCTCTCCACCATTTTGTGGGGTTAGTGCTAATGAGGTGAGAGGTGCTGAGTGTATGCTGCATGTATGTTATTGTCTGCAAATCGTGAAACTGTGAGCAAATTTTGGGGGTTCTGTGGCTCTTGCTGAGGGAGGGTCTTTGCTGTTTGGCAAGGCGGAGAGCAAGCCCCCAAACTGTGTCCGGGGTTAGAGAGAGATGGATGTGTCATGCCAAATTCTGGTGGATACTCCTCTGGTGAAGTAGGAGTTGGCCTGTATGTCTTGTGTGCTGAAACCCAGCTGACGCTGAGTGACGGACGTTAGACAAGACATGGAGGCGAACTCGTACTTCACCCGAGAAGGATGCACCAGAGCAAGCCCCCAAACTGTGTCCGGGGTTAGAGAGAGATGCATGTGCCATGCCAAATTCTGGTGGATACTCCTCTGGTGAAGTAGGAGTTGGCCTCTATGTCTTGTGTGCTGAAACCCAGCTGACGATGAGTGACGGACATTAGACAAGACATGGAGGCGAACCTGTACTTCACCCGAGAAGGATGCACCAGCATTCAGCATGGCGCATGCACCTCTCCAGCTCCAGACACAGTATGGGGGCTTGCTCTCCACCTTGCCAGACAGTGAAGACCCTCCTCTCAGCAATACCCATGGAACCTCCAAAACTCGCTCACAGTTTCACAATTCGCAGACAATAGCATACGTGCGGCGTACACTTAGCGTATCTCGCTTCCTTAGCACGGTAGCCCCACAAAATGCTTGGAGAGGTCCGACAGGGACCCAGTGGCGGCCTCGGTTTTCCTGTTGACAATGGAGGCTAAAGCCTCTTTCCTACGAAAAGACCCGTCTCTAGAAAGACTGGTTGCAGAACCAGAACCAGGGGGACACACTACAGAACTGCCAACGATGCTGCTGTTTGCAAACAACCTCACCACCTCGTTAGGGCCTCAGACTCCTCCTTCCAAGTGATGACCAGAGCAATGCAAGCTTTCCCAATTGCCTCAGAGATGCGCTTTAACTGGGGGGAACAGTGGGGTGGTGGCTAGCTGACTCGGCCCCACCTCTCCACACCAGAAGGATTCACCGGGCAGGACAAAAGAACCCCCTGTGTTTCCTGGGGATCAAAAGACTAACAAAACAGGGGCCTTTGGGCCAGTGCAGGCCATAGCTCCAGAAATCCTTGCCAGAATGATAACCAAATTGGACGCTTGGACCAGCGTTTGCACATCATTTTTTATTTTTTTTTAAAGCCCCATCAATCTTAGGAAGGGCTTTGATAAATCTAGCACATGCAGGACTGGTGGCTTTCCTATTAGCCCTTCTGAGGTGGTTTCATGAGCAGTTGGCTTAATAGGTTAGTAGCTTACTTTCTCAAACTGTTCGTGGTATTTCTCAGCCGAAGCCGGGTAATGGCCCCGGTATTCTAAAAAAAAAAACAAGAAAGAAAAGGAAGGGCTTTGATACCAAACTCTTCATTCTTCTCCATTCTCTGGTATGCTGCCACGATTTGGTCCCCCGAGCGACATTTAAGGACTACTGTTACATGCTGCGCCTGCAACAGGCTGCACGGGCCATTTCCAGGCCCGTGTCGTTTTCAGCCTGAAAGCCTGAAAACAAGGGCCTACAGGCCCCGTGTCGTTTTCAGCCTGAAAGCCTGAAAACAAGGGCCTACAGGCCCTGTGTCGTTTTCAGCCTGAAAGCCTGAAAACAAGGGCCTACAGGCCCTGTGTCGTTTCAGCCTGAAAGCCTGAAAACAAGGGGCTACAGGCCCTGTATCGTTTCAGCCTAAAACAGGGCCTTTCCGGCCCTGAGTCTTTTCAGCCTCAGGCCCTCATAAGATCGACCTGCCCTGAAACTCAGGCACCAGACCAGGGTTTTAACTCAGGCCATTTTTGGCCAATTTTCAAGACAACCTTTGTTTGAGCTTCAACCCCAGGGTCTGGCACGTTTTGGCATTGGCAAGAGCAGCCTCCTGGACGGGCCAGCGCTATATAAGACTGGCCCGCCCTACAGGCTGCAGGTAGTTCCTAGGTACTTCCCAGGCACTTCACGTGCAGTTCAGGAGGCAGGAGGTAGTCTTCAGGATTCGGCACCAGCACTCTGGAGGAGCGCTGCAGGAGTAGTAGTAGCGCTAGCAGTAGTCTTCAGCGCTGGGTGCTAGTAGCATTAGCAGTAGTCTTCAGCGCTGGGCGCTATTAGGAGCTAGTACCACAGAGAGAGAGAGATTGGGCGGAGGCCAGGGAGACTTACCTGATGCGCCATAGCTCCAGCTTCGTCTTCGAGGTACCTGCAGCACAGCGCCATCTTCACAGGTTAGTACCTGGCACATAAGAGAGAGAGAGAGAGAGCGAGAGAGAGAGAGAGAGAGAGAGAGAGAGAGAGAGAGAGAGAGAGAGAGAGTTCTTCTTCTTCCTCTTCTCAGTCCACCATCTTCCTCTCGCCCTCTCGCTATCTGACTTCACTGCATCAGCAGACTATGAGAGAGCGGGCTTGGTGACATTTGGAACCAGACTCGACATTGGACTTCAGATATTTGACGAGGGGCTATCAGGGACTTGTAACGAAGACTTGGTGTTGACGACATTCCCATCTTCCCCCTTCTTCTTCGTCTGATTCCCTTCTCTTCGTCTGTGTATGGACTGGACCTGGCGCATTCTTCTTGTGTGTAGCGCCAGGCCCCTTCACACCTTGTGACGAGGATGATGTATGTTTGGTCTGTACTGCGACATTGATTGGCTAGTCATTAGTATCCTAGTGTCCCTGCTACGCTGTCTTGTACTACGTGAGAGAGGTCAGTCCCGGTCAGGTCAGGACTTGTATCTAAGTCTTCCACTGCGCTAGAAAGCACCATGTTTGTATGTATCAGGATGTACACTGCTTGTTGAGATTTCACTAGCACTGCATTGTCCATTCAGTCCTTTTTATCACATTGCGGATCCTCGGTTATATATGTACATCGCCCAACAGGGCATGTAACAACTACCCTGAAAAAGACGGCAACAACCTACGTGTGGACGGGCAACCGAGCAAAACAAAATCTTTTATTCCCAAGGTTGCCTGGAAGTACACGGTCCTCAGTGGACGGGCAACCGAGCAAAAGAATCTGTTATCCCCAAGGTTGCTGGGAAGTACACCATCCTCAACAAAGCCAATGGGGCTTTGGTGTCCGTGACCCAGAGCTTCAGATCAAGGCCCTGCAAACTAAATGAATCATAAAACTAATCACAGAACAAAACCTGCCCTCACTTTGGGATTACAGCCCAAGTAAACAACACACCTAACAATGTACAAGGCCTCTTCTGGGTCATGTCCAAGTCATGGCCCACAAGAGGCACCATGGGCAACCAGACGAGCAGCCTAGAGAAGGACATCGGGATGAAAACCAGGACTACAACAACCTGGACTTTGACATGAAAAAAAAAACAAAAAAAAAAGATCAGTGGGGGCACTTCATTTGTATCTGCAGAAGGAGATTGCGGGCTAAGGTGAGACAACGAGGAGACAAGAGGGGGGAGGTACTGAGACAACGCTCTTCTGCGACCGATGGCTGCGGACCTGGCAGGGAAGCTACTACGAACGGCAGATGGGGCTCATGATTAGAAAAAAGGGTGTGGCACATAAAGCACCTCTAGCATGAGGACCAAAATCGCTGGCAGACGCATCTGGAATTGAGAAAAATCCTAAAGGGATGTTACAACCTACAGCAGAATTTGAACGACATTCTCGTCTCGATCCTGCAGAAGTGGAGAAGGCTGTTGGAAAGAGGAACCCCAAGTGTAGGGCGGGGCAGGAGAGGCGGTTAATGGAAGGCCCAAAATTCGGCGAATTTTGGTGAATTTTTCACCGAAACTGTCATATTTCCCTGAATTTTTACTCTTTTCTCAGTTTTTCTTTTTGCCTGTTATATATGTGCTTTACGGTATATCAGACTATATCTGTATTCAGTTTCGCCATATTTGAAGCAGTAACAAAAAACTTAGCAAAAACAACAGACTCGAAAAAAGCTTTGGCGAACTCCGAAAGCTACTCCGAATAGGGATTTACAGTGCTCTTGAATTTGTTTTTTTCGTTTTTTTTTTTGCCTGATTGGTTTTTTGATGTTTGTATTATGACCCTGCATAGTTTGTTCGCAAAAGTTTCGACAACATTGCTTGTAGCGACGTGGCGAAAACCCCCGAATTTTTGGCCTTCCATTAGATTGGTGCCAGATGGGGATATATGACACAGAGGAGGCGAATCAAACAACAAGCGGGGTTAGCAAAACCTGCAGGACACAGGTGGTAGTCAGGAAGCACCTCCTGAGGAAAGTCAGGGTGATTGCAGAGGAGGAATGCAGCATTTATGAGCCAGACTGTACCCATTGCAGAATTTGGAGATGGAACCGGCGGAGTGGACTTGGAAGCTAACAACTGGAGTAGGGGGCGCCGATCAATTACTGGACTATACCACACGTCAAGGTTTCAGACTCAGAACTCTCGGTCAATGTACAGGAGATCTTATCACAGTGGTGGCAAAAGAATGGGTGCTCTGCCCAGAGTACCGTGGAGTGCAGTCCTGGCAATCCAGAACAGGAATTAAGTGGTCCGATTGACCGCGGATCGGATATTAGACTGATCAGAAATGATACTAGTAGACTTGATCTTAGTGAAAATGCAGAGAAAGGTATTGGAAGTTTAGGAGAACGCAACGGCTCATAACGTACTTAGCGCTCCCGGGCAATGCCTGGGTCAACAAGCACAAAGCACAGATACACGGCAGTGCGATTCAGGACATCTGCACAATCTGCCACAACGGAGAAAGAGAGGATATCAGGCACTGCCTGCTTCTGTGCCCAAAAGCACAGCAGCTTTGGAGAAGAGCCCTGTAAACTATGGAAGACTACCACCGACAAGCAGTGGAGGAAGGACACTCTTGTGACTCTCACAGTATTCATAGAGCCCAGAGGATTAT